CAGCAGGAACTTCACTGGATTGTCATGACTTCTCATATATAATGGATAGTGTCTTCACAACTTCATCCACGAATTCCCTCAGGACCCACAGATGAAACTCATCAGGTCCTATGACTCTGTGCATCTTCACGTTCCTCAGGTGGTCTCATACTTGATCTTTTCTTACAGTGGATAGTTCCTTATTCTCCTCGTCCCTGCCTTTGCCTTCTGGACTTGGGCAGTGTGGCTACAGCACTTGCTGGTGAAGACCAAGGCAAAAAAGTCATTGAGTACCTCTGCTTCCTCCATATCCCAAGTAACCAGGTCTCCTGTTTCCTTTCTGAGAGGGCCCTAGCCCCATTTTCACTACTCTTTCTTTTATCATTGACGTATCTGTAGAAGCTTTTCTTGTTGTCCTTGATGTCCCCTGCAGATTTAATTCAATCTGGGCTTCAGCTTTCCTAACCTGATCCCTGGCTGCTCAGAGACTGTCTCTGTATTCCTCCCAGGCTACCTGTCCTTGCTTCCAACCTCTGTAGGTTTTTTTTTTTGTGTGTTTCAAATTGTCCAGGAGCTCCTTGTTTATCTGTGCAGGCCTCCTGGCTTTCTTGGGCCTCTCTTCCCTCCAGAACTTTATGAATGTTTTCCTGTGCCCAACAATATAGTCAATGTGAAAAAGCTTAGTGGAAAGTTCAAGTTTCATTATTGTTGAGAACTAATGGAATGAAAACACCTTTGTGTTTGATGCTTGGCTCCTACACAGTCTTGTAAACTACTGAAAAATGATAAAAGTAATGACTTAAGAAACCAGCAGTGTAGAACCTTCAAAATACAAGGCTCTGTAGGATGTTACATTTAGGGAGCAGCTGCTGATAATGGGTTTTTGTCTAAAAAGAAAATTACTGAAGTAGTCCTCAATTTTTATGTTGGTAATTCTGTTCTGTTTTACTGCTTTTAGTGTTGGTAAATGGGTTTATTGCACACAAACATTTGGACTTCATTACAAAGTCATTTGCCTGAGCCAAAAACTAAACACTGCTTGAATTTGGTATTTTTTTCCATGTTAAGGTTTTCACTAAGATTTTGTTCCTTTGAACTAAAATTAGCAAAAAGCAAATCTTCAAAGAAATGAAATTGCTCTTGTAAAGGGCTAAAGCATAAGAATATGTATAATATTCTTAGGTTTAATATGAGCACATGCTTAGCTCAATCTGGAAGGAGATACTTCATAAAATGGTTGCTCTGCTTTGTATTTTACCTGTAGTTTCGCAATACATACACTGTTAGATTTTGTTGAATTCATTATCTTCCGAATGATTACTCCCCCCCCCCCCAAAAAAAAAAAAATAAAAAAATTAAGTGCTGCATGCTAAAAGAAAACAAGAATGATTCACTCGTATGTTTCTCATGGGGTATCAACACTCATTTTCTGGCATATTTTCTGGCTTGGCAAAAAGATTTTTAGGATTGTATTGGCAGGCAAAAAGTAATAACTATAAACAGCCATCTGAGCTACCTAGAACAGCATTCCTATCTTTAATCTGAATATCAAATAGTAGCCCATATTGCAAAATGCCATTTTGTAACCACTAAGAGATACTTATCATATTTAGGTGCATTACAGTGTCCTTACTGTGAAGGAAATTAGGGAGAAGTGTATTGTTTACATAGTTTAGCCTTATCATTCTTGATATTTTGCCCTCATAAAGCACGGGAAGAAAATACATTTGTGCATAGAGGGCATTCAAGTGCTTAAAATGCATCATTTACTGACAAGCATGTGCAAATAACTTCCTTTTGTAAGTTGAACGTAGTAATCTTAAAGTAATAGTATTTCTAGTGTATCTTCTGATTTCTCAAAGGTTGTGGTATTAATGATACTGCATATTAAAGAGGAAATTTGAGAAATAGCTAGTAAACTGAAAAGATGGTTTTGCTCTTTATTTGCAGTAGCTTTTCAGTATGTGAACCCTCTTCCTGCACCTCATCAAACTTCATTCATGTTCACAAGTGTACATTGTGTGATACAGTGGAGACAGTTGAAATACTTGTTTTGGTTTTAAGGTTTTCGCTTATTTTAGTGATTCATCTGCTAAAGGTGGAAATTCTCCAAATTTGACCATCCAGTACAACATATGACTCTCCTTTATTGTTTTTAATTTTCATGTTTCTAGTGTATTTCCCAGAAGTGGCCAAATTTGAGAGGGTCTAGGGTGGGTGATATGTTCAGATATGAAGAATAGCATATTGTGCATTTCTGCCTGCATTAAGGTAGATGAGACTTTGCATACCTCTGCAAAAATATCTTTTCTCTAACCTAACTGCTTGCTGCTACCAAATCATGTGTGTTTAAAAGTTTAATGACATTTTA